GCACCGGGCGGGAGCAGCCGCGGGAACGAGCACCGGGAGCTGTTTCCCCACGTGAAGGAAGAGGCCTCTCAAACGGAGTCACTCCTCTCCGAGGCTGCTGCTTTCCTCCCGAAGGGCAACGCACAAACCACGGGAAATCGATGGGAGTTTCACTGTGGGTTTCATTGAGACAAAGATTGAACTCCAGGGGCTGGACCTGGAGCYTCTGAAAAGAACACGCCTTCAAACATCACGAAATAAAAGGGCTCTGCTCCATGCGTGTCCCCGTTAGCTTTTCGGGTGTGAGRTCTTTGGGGGTGTGGGACAGCCGCAGGGGTAAAGCTCCAGCCCCCATCAGGTGATGCACTGTCAGAGAGCTCCTCCAGCAATCCGTGTTTCCAGCGGGATCTCCCAGCCCCTCCCGGCTCCCCCTGCTCCTGTGGGGAGTTTACATCTCTGCAGGTACCAGGTGAGAAGCCACCTCAGCATGGCTTCGGGCAATCCCTCAGCAAGACCGCACATAAAACCTTCCCTTGCTTGCTTTCTCGCTCTTTAAGGCTATGTAATTTCTCTGTTATGTCTGAGATTTTGCTCCAGGACAAAATACAGCTATGTGGGGCTTAATTGATTTTTTTTTTTTTTTCTCAGCGCTTTCAACTCGAGGTTTCTTTTATTTTAACGACTCCTGGTCTTTTAAGCTGAAAGAGGTAGCAAATGATATCAATCAGAGCACTCCCAAATCGAGAACTTGCTTTGAGGACTTCGCTGTCGTCTGGGCTTTCTCAAATCCTGCATTGAGGTTCTCATTTAACGAGGTCCTGGGGAACTCTGGGTGCCCCAAATCAGACATGCAGCTACAAGCATGGCTGAATCAGGAATAATAACAACAATAATAATAACAATAGTAATAACAATGATATCATCATCAGCTCTGGAGCTGTGACACAAGCAGTCAGAGCTGAGCTGTGCCCAGCATTCCTGGAGACAGAGTGGAGAGAAAGAGAAACTCCTGCAGCCTCTGGCATGGCAGGAGGAGCTGAGTGRAGAGGCAGCAGCTCCATCAAGGAGAACATCCCAGCAGTGGTGAGCTTCCTACTCACCAACCAGCAGCTGAAAACGCAGACTGGCCGAACTTCATTGCTGCTTGGCCAGAGCCCATCAGAAAACCATCCTGCCTTCCCTACAAACGCCAGAGCCCATAGGAAAACCATCCTGCCTTTCCTACAAATGCCAGAGCCCACAGGAAAACCATCCTGCCTTCCCTACAAATGCCAAAGCCCATAGGAAAATCATCCTGCCTTCCCTACAAATGCCATTCCTTGGTATTTTCTTGCCTGAAGGAGCTTGAGGAGCATGCTCACGGCATGACCCCACCAGCAGCATTGCAGGGAGGYACRYGGAGCTCCATGAAGTGGGATCCYTGGGGATCCTTGYCTTCAGCAGGGCAGCCCAYRGACACACCACTGGACGTGCATGTCCTTCTCCATATCCCACTGGAGCAATGTCACACAAACAGCTTGAGCACTGTAATTAAACTCAATAAATAACGATCCTAATGAGATCATGGCACACAAACATTTCTGTAGGATCTTGTTTAATTTCCAGCATGACTCGAGTGTGGGAGAAAATCCAGTATGTCAAATTAAAATTTCGGGTGTAAATCAAATCAAAAGTACAAAATTCCCCGTAGGGTCAAAGCGCAGTGGGACCCACCCTTACGGATTTGACTACTAAAATGTGTTTATTGCACTCAGATCATTTGGGAGTGGAAAGGATCCAGCCAAGGGACCTCCACACCCACCCCACAGCAGCAGCTTGTCCCCAGGCACCGCTCCTCCTGCACAGAAAGGGAGGGACTCCAGCCAGTCCACCTGCAGGGACACCATTTTCTGGCTATTTCTCATGATTCTGAGCCCAACCAGGTCAGAGATGAGAACCTGGCTGGTACAGCAGTTTGGCAATGAAACAGCACAACTTTTGATTCTGGCTCCCAGCAGAGCTCAGGTGGGGGGATTTAAACAAGTTTCCTGACCACGCAGAAGAGGCCACAGCTTCATGTCTTTGGGAAGGTGAACCTTCATCTTCAGAGCCTGTGGTGTTCTTGAAACACCAGGGCTGGGACATTTAGGGTGCTGCAAGTCACYTAAAAACCCAACTGGTGGATCCCCACACTGCTCTCAAGTGGCATTTTGGGACACATGGGGAGGAGTCTGGGTGTCAAAACTTTGTCCAGTTCTCTGCAAGGCATACCCTGGTGTGACACCCCTTCCTTAAGACGCTCCACATGTCCCCATCCGGGGTGGGATGGTGAGAACGAAGCCCAACCCAGCACTCAGGAGTGGGCACAGCCGGGCCACTGGGAGCCCTGAGCTCAGCCACCTCACAGAGGGGTTCACTGAAGGAAGAGATGCTCTCATTGCAACCAAGACAAGATTGGAGTAGGTAGACTATCTCCTCTGCAGCCTTTTCCAACMTCCTGCCTCATTGGATTATCTACTGGCGGCCAAGCATGACATGGGGTCTTTCAGGATTGTGAGGATCTCTGCGTCTTAAAGCCCAGAGGAAGCTCTGGAAGAAGCCCTCTCCTTGGACTCCCGCTGCTCCCAGCCCCAGCTTTTCTTCCACCCGGCTCGGCTCCCGGGGATGCTCCGGTGCCCGCCCCGCGCTCCATCGCCCGCCCGCGGCGGCGGCGGTGACTCAGCCGGGTTTCGGCAGCCGCCCGCCCGCACGCACACACCGCGCCTCGCCCGAGGGGCTGCTCCTGTCTCCGAGGGCAGCTTCCCACCCAGAGCACGGCGTTTGGGCCAACACCGGTGCCCCGGAGGTCAGGGAGGGTGAGCATTGCTGCGGGTGGCACGGGCTGGCAGCGCAAAGCCGCTGCTCTGGTCACTCCTGCCCGACGCCCTCGGTGCTGCCCGCTCCGGGGCCAAGCCTGGCCACTGGAAAGCCCTGCTTCCAAGGCAGGTTTTGGCAGCTCTCCCGCTCAGATGAGGAAACGCTTCACCGCAGCGGCTGGAGCCAGGGTGGCTCCACGCCAGCATTATCTCGGAAGGAGGGAGCAGCCGCTCTGCAGGCTGCCCCAGTTTGGAGGGCGATCTGCTTTCCTTGACTGAGCAGGGAGGCACGGAGAAGGTGCCAGCCGGGGGGAGATGGCTCCRCGGGCTGCGGCAGAACCTGCCCTGCCTGTGCTTCCCCGCCGGCTTTCAAAGCACCCCACCGGGCTGACTCACCGGGCTCCCGTCTCCCTGCCTCCCACGGCCCCTGCCACTCCCGGCGTCTCCCTGTCTTTCTCGACCGGTACCTCCACCTCCCTCCCGCTCCCCTCAGCCGGCTCAGCAGTCTCTCCGGCCGCCCATTCACTGCGGCTCCGCTCCCTCGGGGCACCCAGCATCACTACGGGTTGCCTGGCTGCTCCCCAGCGAGCCTCCGGGTCCCCCTCCCGAACCACGACACAGAAACGTGGCTGTGTGAGCATCTGTCTCTGGAGGTCTCCAGAGCCCCTTGCCAGCTCTGCCTGCATTAACTTTTAGTTTTTTGTTTGTTTCTTGATTTCCTGCAATCCCASTTCCCAGCGTTTCCTCCCTGGGAATTTCAGCGTGTTCGTACCACGCCTGATGCAGCAGCAAAGGTTCCTAAGGCAGTAAAATCCCAGGAGCGTCCTGCCCCTGTCTGTAGCTAAATAGCTTGGGATGACAAGCGTTTGTCAGGGRTTAGGGAGCCAGGGGGAAGCTCTGCATGAAAAGCTGGTGCAAAAGAGCTGGGTGAGCCACAACTGGGCGCTGGCTCGGTCAGTCCCTTTCCAGGTTCCTGAAAATAATGAGTGAGCTTYTGAATCCCACACTTCCCGCAGCTGGCACGGGATGATAAGCTGTGCTTCCCCCCTCCCACCAGCCCTGCCATCTCTGCCTTCCCCCTCCAAGCTCAAACCTCAGCGGCAGAAAATCCCCTGTCCCCTCCCCAGGGACAAATGGCACCTCTGGGGCCCCCCAAGGCTTCCTCGTTCCTGCCGGATGACGGCCGCCATAAATCCCATTGTATGCATACGGAGTTCAAGCCTTTCTTTACCATTTCAAAAATCTCCAGGAGGGCCCAGCTGGGAGGTAGGTGCTGTCCYTACCATCCCGCTCCTTTTGCAGGATTAATAGAGCGAGACACAAGCGATAAGGGCAGGAGGAAGGAATAACTGTCCCCATTTGGGAGCTCTGGGACAGCCCCATTGCTGCCACCCCGGGCCAAGCACCCCGGCAGTGCAGCTCCCTGCAGTTTGGGCAGCAGGAGAAAGACAACAGGASGTTCTGCTGGACTCCTCTCTGACAGGGAAGCCCATCAGGACAGCCTTGGCCAGCGGCAGTGACGCTGCCAGCCCGAGGATGGGACAGGATGTCCCAATCCCTATCCAGACGCTGCCCGGTTAGGGATGCGCCTTCCCCACTCCTGGCCCCGGTGCCGCTCCCCAGCCGGGATCCGGGGCTGCTGCCGGAGAGTCGCTGCCTGTCCTTCCTTCCAGAGCATGTGCTGCAACACGCCCAGGACGAGCGGAACACSGGGATCCACCCCCGCTGCCTGCGGAATGGCCTCGGGGGCTCAGCGGTGCCGCTTCCAGCTGGGCTCCTTTCCTCGGACCTGCCGAGGGGGCTCAGCGCCGGCTGCAGCGCCCCTGGGTGCCTCTGGCCCCTCCACACACACAGAATAAAGTGGTATCAAATCTGTTCAATTTTGATACAAAACCCAGGAGAGATAACACTGAATGCCACCTTGATCTCTTCAAGATGAGAAGCCAGTTTGTGTTGTGTTAYATSTGCCYCTMTGTTTTCCATAAYGCTCGATTAAKAGAAAAGGGMTMGTCCTTTGTGATTTWAAATTAATCTGTTTTAAAAAAAGMATCACTGAAAAAKAAYTTTRYTTTGTGTTAATTYTCTGCAAATTTCASACAACCYTCCCAATTTCAATCACACTTGAAAAATGATATTTTGGGTTTAGTTTTCCAGACGGATGAGCCCTCCTCTCCCTGCACGGCTGCAGCCCAAGGATCCCTCCTCCTCCTCATGGCAGGGTGTGAGCTGAGGGGTGCAGCTCACCCTGCTTTGGGATCCAGGACCTCCCACATCTTCCCCACTTCCAAACTGCAGGGTGACGGCGGAGTTACCCTGCCAGCGCTTTGGGGTTTCACTCACAGTATTTTTTATCTMGTGGTGCCTTTCACAACGATTTCCAGGAAAGAAAAAAACCAACCCTCAGGTTTGAGCACCCCTGCCCCGGTTCTCAGCAGCGCTGCCGCCATCCCGCCGGCCGCGGGCAAGGGTCTGTGCGATTGCCGCCAATATAATTATTAAGTGCCGGGATTACATCCTCTCCGTGCCGCACAGCAGGTAGACTTTGGCCTCTGCCCGCTTTTCACTCGCCTCTCGGCAGCAGGAGGGAGCCAGGGTGCCCTCCCCGGGCTGGGTACCCTCTGCAGAGCCCCAAAAAGAGGGGCAGGGACCCATGGGTGAGCGGGCAGGGATGCGGTGGGGTGGAAACACCCAGACTGCCGTGCTCACTGYCCCCAAGCTGGTGATGCCAGGGATGCGGGGTGTTTGGGGTCATGGGGGACCCTTGGCACCCCCTGGCCGGGGCGGTGCGAGGTGCTGGCGCCTGGTGGCAGCCCCACACCTCGCTTTAGCTGGAGGTGACCCCGGGGCTGGCTAACGTGTAACCAGGCTGTAAAAGCGGCGAGGCTCCGGCGGCGCTGCCCGCAGCTCTGCYCTCGCCGCTGCGAGGAGGAAGTGCACGGGGAATTTAAAATCAAAAGTAACTGTTTCACGGGAAATGGGAGGAGGGTTTCAGCGCTCCTTGCTCGGAAAGAACGCTGGCATCTTCCCCCCCGGTTTTATCTTTCATCCATCATTCAAATCTCAGGACAATCAGATTTGGTTCCCTCCAGCTTCCTGGGAAGAACTGTCAGGGGGCCCTGGGGCTTGTCTGAATGGGAGGAGCARCAAAATTCATCCAAATYGCTGGCGAGAGCAGGTTCACGGAGYTTCTTTCTGTATAAGTGCTGAGGGGGAGMGTTCCAATGGCTTTCACTTCGTTTGTGCCCATCAAAAACGAAAACCCACCCAAGGCAGGCACAACTCCACCTGCCTGGAGAGGAGGCTGAGCTGGTCAAAATAAGGCATTTCTAATATATACATTTCATGAATTAAAGCTATTTTTGGAGTTTGTGCACAGAGAAGCYCCCGGTGACCCTGCCTTTGAATTATGGAAGAGGGACACAAAAAGTAACACATTGCAGTTTTTCCCTCTGCATAACACACTTTTGAATACCAACAACACAACCCTCCCAAAGCAAATCCTACAGAAATATTTCCTGCAGTGCCAGGCTGCCTGCACCTGAACCACCAATGCCTATACTGCCACAGCCAGGCTGCTTTGAAGGGAAGGGAATAATTCAATTTCTCAAAGAAAAGGTTTCACAGTGAGATAGAAGTGCCTACAACACAGCAATTCTCTATTTTTGCTGCTATAATCAGCATCGCCAGAAGGAGAAAATCAGTGGTGACAGCAGCAGGCGCAGCTTGCTCCCCTCCTCAGCTCTGCCTCTGCCCCCAAACCTCGGCAAAGCCGTGCAGGCACCCACAGCCACACTCAGCAGCCACAGTGTGGCTTCACAGGGCAAATGGAAACTTCGTTTTAAGCTGAATTCAGGTTTTGGTTTTTTGTTTTCAACACCACTGAGGCAGCCAAGCCCCTGTGTCCCAGTGGAGCGCTCTGGGTGTGTGCAATTCCCCCGTGTGAGCACACACACACACACACAGGCACCGGGAGGGAGCAAGAGGTGCCTCTGCAAAGAGAGAAGGACAGCCAGCATTTCACCAGAACCCCGGGGGAAAACCCTGAAAGCTTTGTGAAAACCTTTAGGATTCTTTTTTTTATTATTATTGGGGGTGTTTTTGTTTGTTTGCAGTTTGATAAGAGAGATTGGTTCCTCACGTTGCACAGGACAAACGGAGCAGGAATGGGCTGTGGTTCAGGACGTGAACCTGGAAATGGGCTCTGTTCAGACATTTCTCCCTCCCCTTCAACACCTCGGGTTTCCTCAGGCTTCATTCCCTTTCTATTTTTTTTTTTTTTTTTTTTTTTTTTTTTTTTTTTTTTTTTTTTTTTGCCACTAAGGCAAGCCATAACTGAGCATCCTGTTCTCTGGTGGCTAATTTAGGGTGGAACTGACACTGCCACCCCTTCTCTTCATGGGATGCTACCCAGAGTAGCCAACCGTGACACAAAGCTTAGCCAGAATTCCTCCACAGCCACCAAAACGGCTGGAAAGGGGAAATAAACGTGGAAGTTTTACTGAGATAGGGGCTGCAGTGCATCCTTATCAAAGGAGGGTGGCAAATGCCTGTGAAAGAGCGTGGAGGGGAGGGACAGGGTGGATGAGGCACAGAGGTTGCACAAGCTGGATTTTCTTTGAAATCCAGGATGAAAATGCCCCCCAAGGATGGACTGCAGATGTTATCCATGATCATTACCCAGATCTGAGCTGTTTGCCCGGGGCAAAAACGCCCTTGAGCCTTCCTGAGTCTCCTTTAGGTGTGACCCAACCCTTTCCCGCCTGCTGCTTGGCCCCACCTCCACGAGCCCAGCAAAGGAGGCACAGCAAAGCGGGCACCCAAGCTATGGGGACAGCACAGGTTTCACCAGCAGAGATCCTCCTGATCCACCCTTCCCTCASCTCAAACCTCAAACCCAGTCTCTGCCTCACTGGGGAGTCTCATGGACGCAGACACCAAGTTTGTGTTGGGCTGAAATCTTCTCTCGTGTCCTTCTGTCCACACCAGCGACAAAGATTTTCCCCAGCAGCGTCACCTCTGGGCACTCCTGCCCTCCCTCCTCCATGCCACCACTTTCCTGCCCCTGCAGCCAGGCTCCGAGGAAGGAAAATTGGCTTTTCCACATTTTAAAGGTTTGAAACCAGACCAGCTGCTAATCCAGCCTTGGAAAAGGTGCCCTCTTGAGCTCAGCCCAGAGCAGGGAAAGGGGGCAAAGCAGGAGAGCAGGGCCAGGACAGGGGACCCGAGCCCTTCAGCAAGGCTCAGCCCTTGGGAGGAGAGTGGGAACACCTGAACCGCCAGGGCAGAAGCGGAGATTGTGAAAGCACAGCCTGAATGCTCCCTGCCGGGGGATTTTAGCCGCTCCAGTGATTAATGGCAGGGTTGGGGAGAGGCACTCGAGGGGAGCTGCACCCTTCCCYGGTGCCAAGGGTGCTGGGCTGGCTCCCAGCCAGCAGGCTCCTGGCTCGACCCCGTTCTTGGCATCCCACAAGTGTTTATGCATAACTCTAATAACAGTAAACACACCAGTGTGAGCAGTGCTGTTAGACCCAATTCAAATGCTATCATCCCCACTAATTTGGCCTTTCATTTCCATCACAGCCATTCAGCAGGCAGATGGAAAAGATTATAGTGAGGGAGCGATCAGCTTCAAGATTCCATTTTCTTCTTTCACTGCAGATGGGGCTGGGGATGAGACTCAGGCATCCCCTGGCATTGACTGCTCCATCACTCTTCTAAGCCCCACCTGGAAATATCTGAGCCTGATTTAGAGACAGGGACCTGCTGAGTTTGAGATTCCTTGTGCCCCATCTTGGCAGTGATCAGGGGTAGATGCTTGGGGGAATAAAAAAATGCACAGGAAGGAGTCGGGAATAAGCTTACACCTYTCACAATAAACCTCCCATCTTTGTGGTTTAGGGAGTTCGTGAGACAAAACCAGCATCCAGACATCAGGGTGCTCCAGGAATTAATCCAGATCCTTTCTGAATGCTTGGCGAAGTTTATGAAGGAGTGGGGCAATGACTCCCACTGCTCATTCTCACAGGGTTCAACCTTCTTCTGCTTGGTTTGAGCTTGTTACCTACTGGCAGTGAGAAATGGGGGATGGCTGTTCCCTGACCTGCACGCGGTGTAATCCCACCTCCCCACCTGACATCCGTTTGTGTGATACACTCCTAGAAATCACTCTTGTGCTGATTTGGGTGCTAACTTGGGTGGCAGGGCAGCAGAATGTGACCTCTGACAGGTTCTCTACTCCTCGGGAGCAGGACTGAACCTCTGACCGCTCAGATACTTCAGCGGGTGCCAGGGAAAAGCCCCCAGGCAGAGGAATAATTCTGTCTTCGGAGCACGCAAAACTGCCAAACACGAGGCCTTGGGGCCACACACTGAACAATGAGAAAAAAAMCCAAACAATTGAAAAGCAGCTTTCTCCAGCTGCTTCTCCCATGCAATTCTGGGCGAGGAAAGCGCACGACTGGTGGTCTTCTCTCAACAAAAAAACCAGAAACGCTTCTCGCACGCAGGATAAACCTCCTTTTGTTTGTGTTTCAGAGCTGCGGCCGCACTGGAAATGCAGGCGCACGGCGGCAGGAAGAGACCCGGCGGAGAGAGTCCCGGGAGAGAGCGGCACAGCTGGGCAC